GGAAACATGAAGCTGTGAGGTTGTGTTACTGGACGCTGGAATAGAGATGGTGAGGCATATCAAAAAGGAACGAGATTTGTAGTGAAAAATCAACTCAAAAGCTTTAAAACGAAAACTTTTGAAGAAAGGTAAGAAAATCATTCTAATGAAATGTAAGGCAATAGAAAAGTTAGAAAGAATAAAGGGTGATGAAAGACAACGAACCTCCAAAATTTCCTAAAGCATGCTGTAACGGGTTCACAGAATTCAGGACATTATGCTGAACATGGGGTGTGATTGATGTGGGAGTGACGGGGATTGATGGGGAAGTAGCCGGGGGTACGACACCACCCGTACTGCCCGACGACCCAGAACTGGGTTGCATGCCTCCAGCAGCATGATCAGAAGATGAACCGGATGGATCAACTGATGATGGAAAGCTGTCTGGATCTTCATACTGAAACAATAAATTCAGATATATCAGAAAGAGTTTAGCAAAAGTCGTCCATTTCTATAAGAAGCTGAAATTACTAGTAACTTAAAGCTACTTTCTTTAAAAAAAACCATTCTATGTATATAAAGTGTTAGTGATGATAAGTAGCATACCTTCTCATTATGGTAGATTCCTCCATGTCCATTTGAAGTGCCCAAACCTAAGTGAGCTTCATCGGAGCGCAGCCTAAGTGAAGCGCGGATCTGTAAAGAGGTGAAAAATATGGTTGCCTCTATACGGTCCTGATGACAGAAAAGAATAGTGTGATACCTTCAATTTCAGCTCAAGAGTTTTCCTTTCACCTTCTGGAGTATAGCGATAGCGCACCTAAACTAGTCTTTTTGTAAATCAATCAATAAAAACCAAAAAGTTTTCAAAGTGATTTTAACAAAGTCAAACTCACAAAAAACTCCTTCAATCCGTGATCATTCTTGCAATGTGAAACGAGAGCAAATTCTGTAGGGAACTTTGCAAAGCGACATCGTTCACACCTAGAGGCACTTTTACTAGCATATAGCAAAGCAAAATGTTTCGAATTAAAAACCCCACAAGTTTTTCATGATATTTGAGCAACTGTAGGTAACGATGAAACTGCTGATTATATAGAATTCTTTTAGAGAGACAAAAATAATTTTTATTCTTGAAGCTTCTACTCTCCAATTAAAATTTTAACCTACTCATAGGGGCAGTAATTCAGGTGATCACTGGCAATATGGATCTCAAGTTCTTCTGGGGTGGGAAATCGCGGTGAATCTCCGCCGCAGTCAATGCAAACGAATGATGACGGTGACGTTTGACTATGACTCATCTGAAATTGAAAAAAAATCACTAGCAATGAGTAGAAGAAAAAGCGCATAACCATAAACTCGGAAAATACATACGCCTATCGAATCAAATCTCTTTTCTCCCTTTTGTTGCAGCAGTACTTAAAAGATTTAATTTAAAGAAGTCTTCTGCTAATCAGGCTACTCCTTACAATAACAGAAACGAAGATGAAGATAACGCGCATTAAAAACAGAACGTTTTAGGTAAATGGCTAGAAGGTATTTTCCAATAAAAT